CAATCAATCAATCAATCAATCAATCAATCAATCAATCAATCAATCAATCAATCATGTGATTTTCTCAATTAATAAGGGAGTTATGGATGTTTTGTTTGGGTAATAAGATCATGATCTCTGGGCCTTTGTAAATGCAATAGTATATACATGAAAATTATATTATATAAACGTGTAATATACAGTATATGGAGGACTTGTACAAAAATTGGGCCGGTCTTGGCCATCAAACTCCCGGGCTGTAAAGTTTCCCCACTCCGCCCCTGCTCCACACAATAACATTCTGTAAACGTTAGACGGTAATGTTAACATACCTTAAATGGAACGCTCAGTTGTTAGCTGGGACATCTAATATGTTGCATAGGTGCAAAAACAGTCAGTTATTGAGCACATTTACCTGCAGTGTGAACGTAACCTCAAAGAAAAGAAGAAAAGGCAACTGTGACAGCAGCACACAGAGGACTGGAGCAGTGGAGCTTTGCATCACTATTGTTAGGTTTAGTGTTGATGCATGTGTGACAAACATGTTTATTGGACATTTCTGCAAATATGACACATTTAATTGACAAATAAAGGATTCTGTACTTTACAGGACAGGTGGCAACTCTACTCAAAACCTCTCTTTAAAGTTTGGGATGTAAGTTGAGCGTTAACGTTTATTCAAGAAATGCTAGCCTAGCAGGGATGCCCAACCTTTTTGGAGCCAAGAGCTACTTTTGAGGTAGGCATCTACTGACCTACAAAAAAGATAAAATCCTTACTTAACTCCTGACAGAGAAACAGAAAATTGGCGGTCGAACAAAAAGGATCAATTTTTAYTACCTCTAGTAGTACTCACTCTGAAGTGCGAGCTATGAGGGCTGGAAACCTGCCCAGTGAGAGAAGCCAGAGTCAAATAACTTTGGAGCATGGGAACTCTGTTTAATCACAGAACTCTCCTCTCTTCTCTCCAAACAGGGAAAAAACCCCATAAAAAACAATCAGGGCCAACATGGCTACCACAACAGTGCTGCTCGTTTTTCAAAGTCAAAGCACTCATTGTAAAACTCCCTCGTTTACACTCACTATTTATAAAAAGTGTCTTACAATGGTTCAGATTCACAAATCTCCAAAAACTATTTCAAACATCAACAAAACCTGAATATCAAAACTAGGCAGCTGGCTCTGTGCACCTCATGGTGTGTCACCTGCAGGTGTTGAAGGGCTCAGTCCCTCACTGGACCAGACTGCCAGCTCTAAAGGGCCATTCAAAGTGTCCCACCTGCTTAATAAATCCACAACACCGGCGCTCTTGTGGATTTATTCAAAATTGAAGGAATACTGAACCAGCATGGCTACCACAGCATCTTGCAGCAGCATGCTATTCCATCCGGTTTGCGTTTAGTTGGACCGTCACTTATTTTTCAACAGGACAATGACCCCAAACACACCTCCAGGCTGTGTAAGGACTATTTGACCAAGAAGGAGAGTGATGGGGAGCTGCACCAGATGACCTGGCTTCCACAGTCACCGGACCTGATGCCTTCAGTGTGAATCTTCAGTTTTTTTAATCATGTAAATAAAGAAAACTCTTTAAATGAGAAGGTATGTCCAAACTTTTGGTCTGTACTGTATATATACAAACATACATACATACATACATACATACATACATACATANAGACAACCTGATGACAAAACCTGGTTGTCCGCAAAACATTTTAGTTGTCCAAAAGAATCTCAAGAAAAATATAATTTAACAAGTATATTGTTCTGTAGATGAAGTTTATTATATAAAATTGTTCTCAGTCAGCCAGGTTGACAGGATCTGCATGAATAAAATGTCCTCATTTTCTTCATTCAAATAGAGTTCAACATTCAAAAGCTTCTTTCTGCTCATAGGTCAAATATTTTCACTTAAATAGGAGTATCCTGTGTACATGGCCTTATCAAAAGTTACAGTTTAGTGTTCTGTTCGGTTTTACCAAGTTTTTTCTCCCTTTCATTTTTACAAATGATGGACACCCGCAGCAGAGAACTTTAATCAAGGTCTTTTTTGCTTGGTTGTCCACCAACCAGGAGACAGGATCTGGTTGTCCGAAATGAAAATAGGTTGTCTCGGACAACCTAAACAATGGTTATGTCTACCCCTGGTTTACAATTCAGTAGCAGATATATCTTTACAACTGTTAGATTATATTCACTATCAAGCACAGACTGTTTACATGTGCGATTAGATGAGACAAAACATGTTATGTTACTGTATGTTACACAGAGGTTTATAGTAACGAAGTACATTTTCTTCGTTACAGTGCTTCATTAATTTTTTAAGGATTTGTAATTTCACCAAGTATTMTTTTATTTGTTACATTTAAAACCTAAAATTGATGCTTTTACTTTTTTTTTACTTTAAAATCTAACACCTGCTCGTTACAAAATAAATATGTCCAAATTCATCATGAAAGGAGTTGTTTATGCTCTAAAAAATGAAGTGTTGAGTTTACTTAACCAAGTAATGTCAGCTGGTTTCACTAAACCTAGTTGAGTAAATATGAGTCAAGAATGTTTTCTCCACTTATTTTAGTGGAACCAGTTTGATTAACCAATGGGTCTGCAACCTGCAGCTCTGGGGCCACATGTGGCTCTTTGGTTCCTCAGCAGTGACTTTTGAAAATGTGACCAAACATAACAGAATAAATAATTTTTTTGTTTTTTATGCCCACAACAGAAATAAATTTGTATGTAAATATGTGATCAATACTAATACAAAAAGTAAAATATGTTAGCTCATGTTAGCCTTTTTACTTAAATATTCCTRTTTCTTTCTATGATCTTTCTCTCAAATCCATCAGAATTACCTTTAAATCATTTGAAGACAACATAATAATGAGAATTAGATAAAAAAAAATAAGCCTGAATGATTAAGATGTGCTAGTTTTTATGAAATTTGGTATAAACTATAGTATTTTTCTTGTTTACATGAATATGGTCTTTTTTTAGTTGTCCTGATGTGTATAATAATAAATAATATAATAATAATAACAATATTTTTATTTTATTTTATAATGACACCTCTACTGACCGTAAAGTTTTCTGAAAAAGCCTCAAAAAGGCCCACAGACCATCAGTTGATAATCACAGTTGTAGCTTGTTTTGCGGCTCTGGACACATTTTATTAGTAACACAAGGAGCACAAATGGCTCTTTTGTTCGTAAGCATTTTGACATTTTCTAAGGGTGCCAAACAAAAGGTTACAACCGGAGGAAGTTGTCTGACGCCCTAATCCTCAAAATAAAAGCCCCCGGTAGCTTCCGGAAACATTTAAAGGCAGAAACTGCACCGTTTTTGCCCACCAGTGGAACAAAGACTGTTAAGTAAATTCTACAGTTTAATTCTTACAGAGTGTGTAAAAGTACTTTTACTTTCCCAATTTTTATGAACGGTTTTATGACTTTTATTTAAGTACTTTTCTCATCAGTGTAATTTATTTTTATCAAAGTCGTTTTCTATTTAGGTATTTTTACTTTTAACTAGCTATTTTTTCAAGTACTTTATCGACCTCTGGTGTTACACGTCAAAAATATGAGGAAGAAAGACAACAGCTGATCCAAACCTTAATTAAAGTAAAACTAGATTTAGTTGATCTATTCAGAAATAATAAAAATGTAAAAGTTATCAGATAAAGTTTAGTTATCTCAAATTAACACAGATTTTATATTTCTGCAAACATTATAAAATCCTTGAGCGCTCTTCCGGTCTAAACTCCAGACCAGTGAGTGGCGCTAATGCACCAACCGCCAATGAAAACAACAAAGAAGAAGAAGAGAGGAAGAAGAAGAAGAAGAAGAAAAGAGGAGGCGGGGCAAAAGTGGAAACATCATGGCGGGATGCATGAAAATGATAAACTGTTACGAACCAGCTGTCATTAAATTGTTACTTTTCACTGCAATTTTTATGTGTTTACCTCCGCCCTCACACCAGACTTCTAGTAAGTAAATGCGATATAAAAAAGTAAAAGACACGTTCGGTTTTATTTGTGTTTTCAAACAAGCAGAAGCTAATCAATATTAGCTTGTCCCATTACTGACCGAGGCATGATGCATTATTTTTAGCATCCATGCTTATTATCCCTCTTAACTGTGCCAAACTAACCTTTTTTCACGCATGTAATGGAAGTGTAAACAGCAACATTTGTATGTATTACATAGTCTAAAGAATGCAGTTTATTTTTAACAAGTCGTGGTAGTATTGAATATTTTACTTTATTTGTGATTACTTTCAGGACTAAAACCATTTATTTTTGTCTTTCGAAATGTCCACACGTAGAGTCTGAAATAAAACACCAATCATGTTTTGATTTGTGACATACAAACGACCACCGCTCATGTTGTTACAAGGGGATGTTCTGCWGGCTGTTTGTCTGGGTCCTGACAGAGCAGAGCTGTTTTACTGGCATGAGGAGGATCATTAAAGTCAGAGTTGATTGAGGTTTTTCTTTTTTACTGAAACAAATACTATTAATAGAATTTACTGTTTTATTTTTTTCAAACATCTATTGAGCATTTTTTTGTTCAATRTTTATTTAACATTGTATTGACAGTTTTGGTGATTAACACAAACGTCTCCCTGCTCTGGCTAATGTAAAAACGTGCTATATTTTTTTTATTACATTTAATCAATAATAAAATTAGAGCTGCAACAACTAATTGATATAATCAATTACTAAGTGTTGGCAACAAATTCCATTATGGATTTGTTGTGTCTGGTGATTTATACAATATATTTC